TTAATATATATGTAAATGTATAGCAAAATTATATTTTATACAATATGTGTGTGTATTTATACATCCCAAAGGTGCTCTATTGGATTGAGTTCTGGTGACTGTGGAGGCCATTTGAGTACAGTGAACTCATTGTCTTGTTCAAGAAAGCAGTCTGAGATGATTCACGCTTTATAACATGGATCGTTATCCTGCTGGAAGTAGCCATCAGAAGATGGGGACACTGTAGTCATAAAGGGATGGACATGGCCAGCAACAATACTCGGGTAGGCTGTGGCGTTCGACACGATGCTCAATCGGTACTAATGAGCCCAAAGTGTGCAAGAAAATATCCCCCACACCATTACACCACCACCACCAGCCTGAACCATTGATACAAGGCAGGATGGATCCATCCATCCGCCTCAAGGTTGGACGTGTTGTTGTGGGTTCAGAGATGCTCTTCTGCAGACCTCGGTTGTAACAAGTGGTTGTTTGAGTTACTGTTGCCTTTCTATTAGCTGGAATCAGTCTGGCCATTCTCCTCTGACCTCTGGCATCCACAAGGCATTTGGGCCTATATATATTTTCTCTTTTTTGGACCATTCTCTGTAAACCCTAGAGATGGTTGTGCGTGAAAATCCCAGTAGGTCAGCAGTTTCTGAAATACTCAGACCAGCCCGTCTGGCACCAACAACCATGTCACTTTCATACATACACAAACTTTTATCTTGGATGTGATTGATTGCAATTAATCGTTTCACAGCACTTAAATATATATATATATATATATATGTGTGTGTGTGTTTGAACCATGCTATAGTAGAGAATTTGTGGTGATTCTATTGTGGTAGTTGCTATGGTAAAACAACAACTATTAGTTTTTCAGTTCACTGTGGTCAATATTACAGTAAACAGTTCATTAACAAAGTAAATGCTGTAATACTTACAGTATAATACACTATACAATATTATGGTTCAAAAACATATAGTATTTACTATAAATTACTAGAGTATTTTTTCATGTCTGTAACACAATAGTAACGTACAGTACAATCTTTGCTGAACTTTATGAATTGTTGAAACTTTTAAAGGGATAGTTCACCCAAAAAATGAAAACTTGCTGTTTATTTCCTCACCCTCAGATCATTCTAGATTTAGGTGCCTTTTGTCTTCAGTAGACACTTTTTTTTCAGCTGAAACTGTAATCCTTTGAGGTTTGAATAGTTAAAGTCAATGGCTGCCTCAATATACAGCATCATCAGGGGTCATTCATTCATTTTCCTTCGGCTTAGTCCCTTATTTATCAGGGGTCACCACAGCGGATGCCCTTCGAGCTGCAACCCAGTACTGGGAAACATCCATACACACTCATTCACATACACTATGGCTAATTTAGTTTGTTTAATTGCCCTATAACGCATGTCTTTGGACTGTAGGGGAAACCGGAGCACCCGAAGGAAAAACAAGCCAACACGGGGAGAACATGCAAACTCCACACAGAAATGCCAACTGACCCAGCCGTGACTCAAACCAGCGACCTTCTTGCTGTGAGGTGACAGTGCTAACCACTGAGCCACCGTGTTGCCCTTATTTATCATTTTTATTTATGTATTATTATTATAATTTTTTTACCACATTTTAAAGTAATCTCAATTATTTATTAGTATTAGTATTAATAAATTAGTATTTTTCGATTTAATTACATATATGCTAGCGGTAAGGTTTTATTTAGTTATAACGCTCCAAAACATTAACAAAATCCACATTTTGATAATAATATAAGCCAACTTACAGTCTCTCAGTCAACATGAATAAACGCTTTTGATGACATCACTCTGCACTTCTGCTTCCCGCCAGATTTCCTGACCAATCAAATGCTCTCTAGAATCCGAAGCGAAATGCTAATCCGAAATAGATGCTAAATTATGCTAATCAAGTCTGCTGTGGTCCAGAGACATTAAATAAAGTGCATCTGGCTCAATCTCGCGAGAAAACGTAACTATTTTATGTATTGGCGAAAAAGTGGCTAATTTGAAAAAAACTCATGCAATTTTATTAGTATGAAAATGTACGATTTTTAAAAAAAGGAGGCGTGCCCCCAAAACCCCACCCCTAAACCTACCTTTCATTGGGGATGAACAAATCGTACTCATTTGTATGAACGAAAGCGAATTATTTGTAATTTGTTTGTTCTTTGCAAATTTGTACGAAATATTCGATAATCAAAAAGTTACGAAACTTATGATGTTTTTTGACATAAGACATGACATGATTTATGAATGATTTAAGTTATGACTAGACGCTAAATTCGATTGGGTGTTTTTAAAAGAGAAAGGGGCTTCTAAGTAAGCCCCGCCCACTCTTCTTACTTTATTGGAAATGACATCAACACACTGAATAAAGCTGTGTGTTTCAAGGCACTTCAGAGACCTTTAATGGTAAATATCTCCACCTGAAACAAACCTGAGGGTGAGTCCACTTTCAGCAAATTTTCATTGTATTTATTAATAAATTAATAAACATATAATTCATATAATGGTCAATGTAGAGTATGTAACAATGGCTTCTGGTCGTTTTAGACATTTGTGTGGGAAAGGCTCATGCATGCAATTGAAAAAGAAGAATTTACAACAACAAAAGCAAAAATAACGTTCTTCGTAATTACAAATGTTGTTTTCCGTGAACGAATCGCAGCTAGCACTCAGACATCTGGGTTTGTGGAGTATAAAGGTGTTTATTTATGCGCTGGCCCGCCAACAGAGTCCATACAGATGTTAAATGACGTTCTCAAAAAGCTGCATTGATCTCATGATGTTCTCATCCTGTAAAACACACACACACACATGCGCACACACACACGCGCACACACACACGCACACACACGCACACACACACACACACACACACACACACGCGCACACACAAAGAGGTAAAAACTCACCTGAGGAGACTCAAGTCATTACATAAGAGCCCTTTTCAATAAAGACATTCATGCACAACATCATATTAAAGACAGAAACAGACTTACATTTTGACAGCAGTCTATAAATTCATCTATAGTCACCACTCCATCTCTGTTTTTGTCCATTTTCTGTCCAAACACACACAAAAAAGGGTCAGAGGGTCGACATTTGTGGTATATATATTCATTTAGTTTTAGCCTTTTTTTGCTTCCAGCAGGCACCTTGATGTCAAAACAACATTGAAAATCATGAATTAAGAAATTGAATTAAAGTCGAATTAACGTCTATTTGACATCCACACATTGATGGCCTTTTGATCAACCAAAATTATTACATTAACCACCAAAATAATGACATTAATACATTTAGTGTCATTACTTTGGTGGAACTAAATGTGTAGACTTTATTAGTTTAATACATAAAAAATAGATGAGAACATTCCGGCTTCATCAATGTACTCTCCAGTAAACACAGAGGAGAAATCCTATTTTCTATTTCAAAAACAATCAATACTTAATAAATTACAGTATATAGAGGGGGAAAAAAATCAATCCCACCTGGAAAAATATCTCCACATGCTGTCGCGGAGTTTCCTCCTTGAGTATGGGATATGTGCATTTCCCCATCATGTCATAGATGGACTTTATGATGTCTAACATTTCCTGTGAAACACAAACAACATGTTTATTGACGTTTTTACATCGTTTATTGATATGTAAGTGTCTTTCTGATAATATTTTATAATGGGGTTCAGTTTGTTACGTTTAGTTGTATTTGGTGTCACAAACTGCCAATGAAAAATATTCTCCAGAACACAGTGCTCTATATCAGTGGTTCCCAAACTTTTTGCTGTGTGCAACCCTTTCTAATAACTACAATAACTACATACACATTTTATTCTCTATACGTGATTAAAATAAAATATAATAAAATAGGTGAATTTAATGGACAAGCTTTTATAAAGTTGACCATTTTCACAGCTTCATGCATAGGTTGTAAATTACAATTTGTAATGCGATTTCTGTTTCTCTCTCTCTCTGTTTTTATCTTTTCTCTTAAAAATATGACATGTGAAGTTCACCCAAGATAAATGCATAAAAATAAAAGAATAAAATGTTCCACCATTACATACATTCTCTCGCGCACCCCTGGTTGTCAGACTGCGCACCCCAGTTTGGGAACCACTGCTCTATATAATGCAAACGTATTGTTACGTTGTGTTAATATTAGGGCCAGACGGAATCTGCGGTCGTTTTTGGCTATTTCTGCTGAGAATTTTGCGGAAAATCTGCAGATTTCTGCGGAATTGTTTTGGGAGTATCATAACTAAAACCTTAATATGTGAACTTTTAAACTTTTATTTATTGTTTAAAATGCAAATCCAATTAAATTCACTTTATTTGGTAAACAAAGCAAGTCTCTCATATAATATCGCTACTAAAAGACAGAAAATATGAATGTACAAAGTGAATTGTACATAAATCAGATGAACATTTTCATATTAGTCAATAATATTACTGTAATTAATTAAAAAACTGAATAAATATAGATTTACACACATTTAGTAAAGTAAATAACAGAACTAATGATGGGCTAAAAATCTGCAGAAATCTGCGCGCGAAGATTCCGTGTGGGCCTAGTTATTATTAACTTGAAATGTTAAATATAAAGTAACAGTATTTAGTCATTTCTTAGTTTGTATCTCCTAGTTTGGCCTTTTTTTTGTTATAATTGCTTTCATCTCAAAATGTAAAATGTTTATACTCTATAATATTAAATATATTATATTTATTTTACTATATATGACTTTATGTATGACTATATTTTAATTCTGACCATTGTTGGTTGTATTTATGCATTCATTCATTCATTCATTCATTTATTCATTCATTTTCTTTTCGGCTTAGTCCCTTTATTTATCCGTAGTTGCCACGGCGAAATGAACCACCAACTTAGCCAGCACATGTTTTATGCAACAGATGCAAAATAGCATACGTTAATGCTTTTAATTTACAGTGGGTTATTTATTAAGTATCTGTACTGTATATTACATGGGCCTGTTGGTTAGAACGGTTCTGCAGTGGTTTACATGTGTCAAATTGTAAAAGTAGACTTAAAAATATAAATAAATAAATAAACAACATCCTACTTATTAATAATAATAATAATAATAATAATAATAATATTATTAAATTTAATTTCTTAATAAACAGCCTTCCCATTTATTTATTTATATGATATATGAGATTAGAATACGCTTTTTGTAAATGATTTTATGTTGTAGAATAGAGTGCGTAATGTTCTCAATAATATATAGAGCAAACACTGGCCCTATATGTGCCATCTACATATATTTCAATTAATATGGAAAGCGAGTGCATGTTTTTACCAAAACTAATATTGGATTTTTTTTTTTAAATGCGTGTGCGTGTAACACAATATCATTTACATATAGAAATGATGGGGTTCTTCTATAAAGAGGTAGTTACTCCACCACGTTTAAAGCATCATTATGGTGTTTTGCACTATAACTAACGTGGCCCAAATGATGGATTTGCGACAGAGAAACTACGTGTTTTTGTAAACACTCGTCACTACATCGATGCATCATATTGTGATAGTCCAGCCGCGAGTTACGTTGTTGTTTGTGAAACACACCCCAGAGCATTATTGGTTGTTACATCCAATCAATTCACACTTTACAATAAGGTTTCAACAGCTAATGTATTCACTGTACTAACAAGAACTAATTATAGACAATACGTGTACAGCATTTATTAATCATAGTTCAACATTAACTAATGAATACATCCAAACCTATGCTTGTTAACATTAGTTAATGCGCCGTGAGTTAACATAAATGGATAACAACTGTATTTTCATTGACTAACATGAACAAATGCTGTAATAAATGTATTGTTTATTGTTTGTTCGTGTGAGTAAATGCATTGACCAATTCAGTGTTACTTCAGATTAATGGATTTTAACAAAAGGAACTCGGTTGTATACTACTTTTCTTCATGCGTACTGTACCTCCTTTGTTATATATCCATCTTTATTAATATCATAGAGGTTAAATGCCCAGTTAAGCTTCTCCTGAACGCTGCCTCGTAAGAGAATGGAAAGACCCATTACAAAATCCTGGAATACAATCAAACACATTGAGAAATCAGTCCAAGAATACAGAATAATCTTGCGTAAATACGTACAGCTGAAGTCAGAATTATTCAAATATTTATGTTTCACACTTTAGCTGATGCTTGATCTTATGCTATTTAAATGATTGAATGCAACATTTAAAACACTGATTTGAGGTTACATGTCTATTATGTGCATAGGAAAAAATACTTTAATAATCACATACACATTTTTTTCTACTCCCTGATGAGAGCAATTCTTTCATGCTCTTCTTTTCACATGAGCAATCAAGATTTTTAATTACCAGAAGTGACGGAAGAAGCCTTAAGCTAAACGACTACAGGACAAGCCAAGGTTTGTTAATAAAAACAAGACGGGGATGCTCTGGTTTGGTTTAATTACTGTATCTCAGAGCAGCAGCGAGGCTTGTTCGAGATTGAAATCCTTGTCATCTGCAAACTAAAGGTTCAGAGTTGCTAAAATGTTTTTTTTATTGTTTTTGTTGTTGTTGTTGTTGTTGTTGTTGTTGTTGTGTCTGCGAGATACAGACTGCACAAGCTTTTGTCATTCAAGACATTTCTGCGACAGGGGTCAACTTGAGGGGAACCTTTTTTTTTCATAACAGCTCAAACTGCGTTTGTTTGTGTTTCAAGAGTTCACACTTAGATATTGCTTGACAACTGTAAGCAGGTTTGGCATGCTGTCCCGGGAGAGAACCCTGAGCTCAGAGATCAGAGTCAATCATATCACGTGCTCCTCTCGAAATTAGTTTGAAAAACTTCACTTAAGCTGATGCATAACATGTAAAAGGCCACTAGCTGGGTTATGTTTTTCAATGTTTGCAGTAAAATAAATAAATCCCTGGGAATTATGGGTAATTTTTCATCAACTTTTAACTGAACATGGCATGGTTGTATTTACAACACTCAGTTGCCAACCCAGGGCCGGCCCGTGGCATAGGCACCATAGGCAAATGCTAAGGGCGCTGTATATCCAGGGGGGCGCCAGAAATGAGCGCGGTTCAGTTGGTTTTGTTTTCGATATTCCTGACACACATTCAGTTATAGACGGCAATAACTCAAAAAACCTCTTACCCTAAAAAGATCTAAAGTGTGTTTCCTACAAAAAGACAAAGCTGGTTATGTTTCACAGCTGTCTTTCTTTTTTTCGATTGACATTACGATCACTGCTCCATTTAAGCCCTCGCAATATGTGTTTAGCCGGGAGAGCTCGCGCTGAGAGGAGCTCTCAGTAAGGGACCGTCAGAAAAGTGCTTCTTCTTTTTTTTTCTGCTCCGCTCAGCTCGAGCTCTCCCTGTTGCAAAGGCTTAAGTGTGTGCGTGTGTGTGTGTTGGTGTGTGTGTTTGTTTGTTTGGTGCTGTCTATGTTTGTGTATGTGTTTAAATGAGAGACAGTGTGGTGCTGTTTGTCTGTGTGTTTATACAGACAGCTTGTTATAGCCTCCCCCCTAAAATATAACACTGTATGGCCCAGTTTCACAAACAGGGCTTAGATTAAGCCAGGACTAGTCCTCAGTTAAATAAGGCTATTTAAGCCACATTTAAAAAAAAAAAATGGCCTTAGAAAAATATATTACTGGTGTGCACCTGGAAACAAAAAATGACACTGATGTACTTTAAGACATCTCCCTGCAAGTTATTTTGAGTTGAGACAGCTCAAACATGCAATTTAATCTTGACTAGTCTTAAACCTTGTTTGCGAAACCGGGGGTTAATGGAAAGCATCGTCAATGCACCGTGATGCACCGAGATATCGAATTGAACCGAATCAAAGGCATGATAATCGTAACCGAACCAAACCATGAGACCAGTATAGGTTCACACCTCTAACGTCCAACCTTGAGGCAGATGGGCTACAGCAGCAGAAGACCAGACCGGGTGCCACTCCTGTCAGCTAAGAACAGGAAACTGAGGCTACAATTCCCACAGGGTCGACAATAGACGATTGGAAAAATTGGAGTCTAGATTTCTGCTGCGATATTCAGAATTCGGAAGAAAAAATATTATTATTGGATTATAATTATTGGAAAATATTTGAAAAAGAAAAAAGAGCTAATAATTGTGACTTCAGCTGTGTATGTGCCTGATGTTCGTTATTAGTTCTTACCTCAAAGCTGACCGAGCCGTTGTGATCTGTGTCGAATGCGTTGAACAGAAAATGTGCATACGTCGATGCATCTGAAAAATAAAAGAGGAACTGCTCAGCTCAGTCACCGCAATGTCATTAACTCATCCCGCAGCTTATTCTGCTCAATAACAAAGCAAATGCATAAGCTTAGCACAGACTATGATCTATTATACTATAAATAATACAAGCAGCGTGTGTATGTGAATGGTCTGGAATGAGAAGAGCCTCGTGAGGGAGATTTGTCACAATCCCTGACAAATAATGATGCGCAAACACATAATTAGAAAACCACTCGTCTGACTGTACAGTGGCACAAATCATGTGAGTCAAAAGAGAGGAACCACTACAGAAAGACCTCCATTCACAACAATGAGAGAGTGTGTGATTTGTGAGTATGTGTGTGTCTGAAATGTTTGGTGTTATGTAGTTGCTGCATAAAATAAAATA